GGAGCATGTTGGCAGGAGAGGAAATGAGTGTTGAAGTAGGTGGAATGACAAGTGAGTCAGCTGCGGTTGGAAGGAAGATTGACCTGTGGTGGTACAGAATCACACACACCGTGTGAACCCTTGTACTTGTGAGGGCTCACTGCGCTGTGCGTGCCGGTTTGGACCCTTTTCCAGGGTGGGTGCCCTCTCACCAGAGAGTAGGGCCAGTAGAGACTAGTGTGAACGGTCAGAGATGTAAGAAATATGGTCCATGAGGAAAGAGTGAATATTGGCTGTTCCTTAGTTGAAGGAGAAGGGAGGGGAGTGCGACAGCACACTCTGAAAATCTAAAAAAATTGCAGCTGGATGGAGGGGGAGTAAACTGTCCACTTCTCCTGGGGATGAGAGGTAGGGCTCCAAAGCCAGCGAAGGGGATCTGTGGGACACCAGGGATGCGGATCCCATCCCACCCTGGGACCCGGGGATGAAGGAGACTGTGGGAGGCTGTAGGCACCTCTGGTGAACAGGCTTCCGCCTGAGTGGCGAGTGACTGGTGCGGCTGACCTCATCTATTAATTGTAATCGATTATAGCAATGGTTAATTTAATGGGTTTGTGTATTTAATGCTTTAGCAATGTGCATCTTTTGACTCAGGCGTGCAGACAGGCAATAGAAGATTGAAACTCGTTGCTGCTGGCTGATGCTCTAGGTTTAGTATGGTTTTGGTCAAACCTTTACATTTCTAGTAAAATGGCTAAAAGCTGGGGTGGCTGCAGGCACAGGACAAATCCAGAGAGCGTTAGCAGTGCCTTACCTGTCTGGTGCTGGGCTTTTCCTGACTCTGTTTCCACTCTTGGGGATTAAGTTGAAGTAGGTGAATACAAGCAAATGGTTGCACTGGGTGTCCTCTCCCTGGGTTTCACTGGTAGAAAGCTGTGTGCAAATTTGGGCGATATCAGAGGAATTTTACTGTTTTTCATATTGTACAGAGTGATGGATGCTCTTTGGTATCGCGTGTGATGCTGTGGGGGATGCAAGAGGGGTGGTCAGAGCCGAAACGGAGCCCCACGGCCAGTGCTGGCCATCCCAGGGGCACTGCTGGTCCCTGTGGTGCTGGGATGGTTCTGAGATGATGAATCCAACCCTCCTCGGTGTGGGAAGGGTTTCTGCACGTTCCTTCTTAGTGTCTGTCTGCAGCCTGAGCTGGTCAAATGCTGATGAGCTTGTTTTTACGAAATTAGTTTGTTTTGTGGTGGAATAGGCTACAGCCTAAACATTCCCATCTCTTTTCTTTTTTTGGTTTCCATTGAGGACTCTATTTTTGACCTCACTTGAGTGGGCTCGGGAAAGCGACGTGGGCAAAGACGGGTGGTGGTTGGGGTGAGGTGTTCGGTGCGGGCGGCTGGAGCTGTATTTCTGTGGGTGAGCCCAGGGTCCGTGGACACGGCGAGGTCTGTGAGGGCAGGAGAAGCTGCTCTTGCTGGGTGAGTCCCTGCTGCCGGGGAGGGGGTGTCCTGAGAGCTCATCCCGGCCCCGGGGAGCTGCTGTGACACCCTTCAGGGGTTTTCAAGCTCTCGCACGCTGTGAAACGTGCACGAAATTCCTACTGTGGATTTGGGGCGGAGAGGGGATGATGACTCACATCTTCCTAGTTGCTTCTGATGCTTGGTAATTAAAGTCAGCCTTTAATGAGACAAGATAAATATAGTGGATGCAGTTGTTTTTTTTCTCCTTGGAAATGCAATCTCGCCCGGTGTTACGCCCTGGAATGACTGATAAGAAGCGTATTTTCAGCGGTGACGTGTAGCACACCCAGACAGCAGCCTCGGCCGGGGGCAGGAAGCACCTGAGAACAAGAAATCCTGTAAGTTACTGAAAAATTTATTGCGAACTACTGTGCTAGAGAACCGTGCTTGTTATATTGCTATGAAGTTTCTCCAAAGGGGGTGGAGAAAAAGCTACGAAAAATAGCATATCTTAGGAAAACTGCGTATAAATATCTTCAAACATCTTAAGTGGAAAGCAGCTGAGTATCTGGGTTTGGGTTTTGCTGTCACTTTTGCCTTTCTTTAATTGCTATCAATTAAACCTCCATCATTTTGTACTGAAATGTACAAGTGAGCTCTCACGGGTTGTTTCCATCTCGACCTGAGGGTGGGTCGCATCTTGCTGCCCACGTGGGTGCAGGAAGGTACCTGATGGTGCCTCCAACCTCCATCATTTTGTACTGAAATGTACAAGTGAGCTCTCACGGGTCGTTTCCATCTCGACCTGAGGGTGGGTCGCATCTTGCTGCCCGTGTGGGTGCAGGAAGGTACCTGATAGTGCCTCCGCAGCGTGGTGGGACCCAGCATTTATCTCGACTGCTGTGATACCTGCAAACTGCCTTGTCCTTGCTGGAATTTTGCCTTCTGCTAATTAGGTCAGGCTGAGTACGGTTTTCTTCCCTGGGCGAGATAAGGTCTGAATGTGTCCGTCCCGAGAAGGGGCGTTGGGTGCTGGGGGGGACTGGAGGTGGCTGGTGTGTTATCCCATTAAGGACATACCCTTCAAGATTGGTGTTTCTCAGAAGGAAAAAGGTTCTTCCCCAGCAGCAGCCTTTGTAGGGGGAAGATTTGGGGCAGGGTTGTCTCTTGCATGTTCTCATTCCTGCTTCGTTGCACTCGTCCCTTTCATTGGATTTGGGATTAACGAGTCCACTGCCCCCTTTGAGGGTTTCTGGTGAGGCGTGAAATGCGGCGTGGGGCAGCCAGCACGGGCACAGGGTCAGTGCCAGGGAGGGACCTGCGGAGGGATGGCCATGGGGAGTGTGCTGTGCTTCCAGCCACCCCCGGGCTGTTTGTACAGGGGGGGATCCCACAAAACAGAGTCTCTTCTGGACATCATTGATTGGATCTGTACTGACACATGGGGAGAGAAAGGGGGTTTTTGCCAGAAGAGAAAAGAGAACTGAAAGTTCTCTTAAACTTAAGGAGAAAGGAAAGCTATTTGCATTAAGTTCCAACTTCCAGCGTGAAGGCTGCCTTTCACTTTTCCATTGCACTGAACAGCGAGGCGGTGCCTTCCGACCCTGATGGTTGAGTTTGTTGTGATAGGAAGCACTTTGTTAATCAAGACAAACAGCCCTCCTCTCCTCCTCTGATGAATTTTTCCCGCAATGAAGGGAAGAATAAGGCACTGTACCTGAAATCAGCTCCCAAACCGGGGATAGTGGAGGGAGGGAGAGGAGAAGGTGGGGGGAAAGCTGTCAGAGTTCTCAGAGAGTTGAAAGTTGTGCTCTTTTGGTGCCGTTTCTCTAAGAAGCTGCCTCTCAGACTTTGCACTTTTCTCAGAAATCCCTCCCATTTTCGCTGCCTTCAGACGATGATTCACTCCTTTGTCTTTTGCTTCCAAGTGCTTTTGGGGAGGCTGCTTTCTGAGCGCCGCCGAGACCAGCCGTGCCCTGATGTTTCTGTGGCCTGTGTCCTACGAGAGTCTCCAGACCTCCGTCCAGATGTCACGGTGTCACATCCCGCTGACCAGGGCCCCTCTGGAGCAGTGACAAGTGTGGAGCAACGATGTGCGGGAGCTTGGGGCCGGAGATGAGCGAGCTGCGTGGCTGGAAATGACAGCGATAGAGAAGTGATTTGCCGCACTGTGTGCTTTGGTGGCTCAATGCAGGGAAGGAAGCAGCTCTTCCCTCCTGCGCTCGGGCCAAGGAGGTACTGACACTGTACGTTCTGCAGCCTCCTGCTGCCGGGGAGTGCTCCCGAGCCAGGCACAGACCCGTGATGGGAAGAGTCATCCACATCTGCAATTTGTTATTGTTTACAGTCGATATAGAAGAGTTGCTTGCAAAATCCAATGCTTTATAAAGGCAATTTGGACCGTGGACTTCTGTTTGGTTGTTGTTCAATCAGAGGTTTTGGCGGATGTTGCATATGCAAATTGTTTATAAAGTGATCTGCAAAGAACCACTTTGTTACATGCCTTTGTTTCACCTCTCTTGTTTTTATAAGGTCCTTAAGAGCTCTCTAAGAACACAGTGAGTGCTGTTGGCCTCGTGTCAGGCCTCCAGCCGTGATGTGCTCGGCCTGGGTGTAATGCTGGGCTGGGCTGGCTTTGTGCGGCCAGGCCACCAGCCAGGGCTGGGCTGGAGAGGCTGCATGGAGCCATGAGGGCCAGAGCTGGTTGGAGAGGCTGCATATGGGGTCACCAGAGCTGGAGCTGGTCTGGAGAGGCTGCATGGAGCCATGAGGGCCAGAGCTGGTTGGAGAGGCTGCATATGGGGTCACCAGAGCTTGAGCTGGTCTGGAGAGGCTGCGTGGGGCCACCAGAGCCGGTCTGGAGAGGCTGCATGGCGCCACCAGAGCTGGAGCTGGTCTGGAGAGGCTGTGTGGGGCCACCAGAGCTGGTCTGGAGAGGCTGCATGGTGGAGCTGGCCAGTTCTGCAGTTTGGCAGCAGGAGACTCCTGATTTTGACACCCTCTTTCTGTGCGTCCTTGAAGAAGGTCCCTCTGTGCTGACCTGCTTTGTTAGATGCTCTGATTCCTGCTGATGGAAGGTGATGCTGTATGAGAGAGATACATGTGAGACAGTAGTTGGAATGTGAAGCTTTCCATTTGAAACCCTCTGGTAAATTTGGTGTCCTCTCGGCTGTTTGTTGATTTCTCTGGCCTTTCACAGACAATCGGGGCACACTTTGCTCCAAGGTTTGCTCTGTGCTCTCCTGTCTGCAGCAGGCTCTGGCTCTTTCTAGAGAGCTCTTTCAGCTCTCTGAGTGTCTGTGGTGCCTTGGCAGCGTGTTGTTCCTTAAAAGCAGAGCTTGTAAATCTGTGGTAAGAAATGACGCCAGGCCAGTGGCAGAGGGATCTGCCCCGTGCAGCGCCGCAGACCCGCGCTCAGCAGCCCAGTTCCAAACTGGAGACCTGAACTGGAATCACGGGCTGCCACTTCCCACTGAAGGGGCATTTTCTGAAATAGCATTTTCTTCCTTCTGACTGCTGTGTTTCTTTAGCCAGTGTTTCTGTTCCCCTTTCCAGGGTTCCAGCAGGTTTCCCAGTTGTCGTCCTATGAGGTTGTAACCCCGCAGAGGTTGGGAAGAGAACGGCGAGAGGCTTCCAGTGTCTCCTCAGTGCAGGTACTGGGCAGTCCTAGAAACCCCTTCAGCTTCGTGTCTACTTCCTAATGAGGAGTCACCCCAGACTGACCCCAGGTTCTCACAAGGTGCTGTCAGACTCCTCGAGCCCCAGTGCCCCCCTCACACGCGGCGTTACCCCCAGCACTGCCTTTACCCAAGGTGCTGTAGCTGCCTCCCTGCTCCGGAGGTTACGAGTTGTGCGATGGATGTTTGATCTGGGTGTAAAAGTTGTGTAATGAGAGTTGTGAAGCGCTGGAGTGAGTTTTGGAGAGGTGGTGGAATCACTGTCCTGGGCAGGGGCTGGATCAGCCAACCTCCAGCCGACCACAGCGGTATTTCCAGCCTGTGCTGTTCTGCTGCAGCCACATAGCTAAGGACTGCATGCTTCATGGTATTTGGATTAGACCAACTGTGTGTAGTCACAAATCTTATAATCATTGGCAGAATTTAATATTAACAACAATGCCTTGCAGTTTATTGCGCTCATTGACTAGTTCTCCTGCTGTGTTATTTAATGTAGGGGTCAGGGGACTGAGTTTATCCACTAAATATTTAAGGACCCGGTTGCTGTGTGCAGCACTGGACTAACACAGGGCTGTGGAGGCACTGGCTTGCTGTGGATCCTCAGTAATAAACTGTAGTGCCCTTTCCCAGCTGTAACTAAGAGTTTTTCTGTGGAAGTCTTACAAACAAATAATAAGAAAACCACAAAGCTATTTTGAAACAGCTTCCTTCATGTGACTTTTCCCCAGTTACACGGGAAGGAATGCCAGGTTCCGGAGGTAGGGACAGCTATAAAACAGGTCCCAGGCTCACCCACACGTGGTTATTCCTGCTCTGGGGCAGCCGGCAGGACCGAAGGCTCAGCAGGGGCTCGGATCCCAGCAGGAAAGGGCACAGCCTTGTCCCCAGTGACGGAGGTGACAGGAGTGGTTTGAGTGCTGCAGTCAGATGGTGATGGAGCTCTCAGAGACTGCTTTCTGCTGAACTTTTGTTGATGTCAAAGAACATTTTATTCATGAGCATAAGTAAAATGCAACTTTTTTCTATTCAGGACAAGGTGTCGTATGCTATTGAGATAGAGGGAAAAGAATACACGATTCATCTAGAAAAGAACAAGTAAGTGATGAATTTCTCTATTAAATTCCATCTGTTGTGTCTGACTAATGAGCTGGCAGGTTGCACATGAGTTCTGATTCCTGAGGCTCTTTATGAGAAGCGCGGTACGTGCTGGTGCTCAGAACCCGCAGAGTGAGACGGGGAGGGTGGGCTGAGTGAGAGCCAGAGCTCTCTGAACCCTGTGCCCCTGGTCCCCCCCTCGGAGAGGAGGCAGCGCTGGGCTCAACGGGGACCTGGGCAACCCTTGACATGACTCTCTCCTTCACATCTGAAAATAAACAAACTGAACTATATTTCGAGTAAATATTTTCACTTTCTTCTGGGTTTTGTTTATTGTTTCAGGGTTTTTTTTCCTGTCTCAGTAGCAGGAGAATACTGATAAATGAGGAAGCTGACTTTATATCCAAGGCCTTCATGTTCATAACTTACAGACAATACAGATGTTTTGTTTCAAATATGGAGTTTAATTTTTTTAAGTGCTACTTGCAGTAGCAGCATGGGACCATTTATTGGGCTATTGCTTCTTAAAAGTGCCCTCATGGCAGACAAAAGAGACAGAACTGTTTCAATGTATGAGCCCTGGGGATCTCTGGCTGCCACTTGCTGAGCCCGTGGCCCTCACGGACATGGAATTCAGCCACGCTGCATCCAGGGATGTGCCCGTGGGGGCCAGCAGTCCTGGAGACTTCCCAGTGCAGAGCTGGGGAGCAGAAGGCATGTGCAGCAGACAGAGTGCTGTAATTCATTTATTTATTTATTTATTTATGCACAAAAGCAATCTTTTAGCACAATTCAATGGGTTTTGGTGCCTGTTATACTTATCCAGGGTCTGGTGATTGATTTGATTTCATTAATGGTTCTGCCATTCTGGTATCTTGGATTTGGCTGTGGAAATGCACGATTTTGTTGTTAGTTTGGGGGGAGGTTTCCTTTTGAATGTTTTTCTTGTTTAATTGCAGTTTATGTATTTGTGCCAGTTTTGATTAGGATCACCTGGCTGCCCTGCTGTAGCGTCATGGTCACTTCATGGAATTCCTCTTGTATTCTCTTTCCCTACAGGGAACTGCTGCCCAAAGACTTCACAGTTTATACCTACGATAAGGAGGGGAAGTTGCAATCTGAAGTGCCAGATATCCAGGTAGGATTTCTTTCTTTTTATACCCTTTTTGGCAGAACCTGCAGGCTGAGGGAGTCGTGTGTTACAAAATTATAGTGGTATTTTTCCCTGGGTCGCTTTCTAATGCCGGGGTCACACTGCACTTCCTGCGGAGAAGCCTTGATTGAGCTTGTAACAGACCCGTATTTTGTTACGTGGAGGTGACTGCTCTCTAATTAAAAGCTACTCTCTCTCTTAAAAGGAAATGCTCTTCTCTGCTGCCCAGTATCTTGTTATCTGAGAGGGGTGCCTTGATATCACTGCGGTGTCGCTGCTGGACACGGGTCTGGCTTCTCTTGGGGACCAGGACGTGGAGCAGAACGATGGAATATAGAGCTATTACTTTTACCCACAATGGTCTTCCAGATTGCTCCACAAGTGAAAACGAACTGTCAGCTGCTGACCCATCTTTTTGGTTGTGCGAGGCTGGCTGTCAGTGACTCTGAGAATTTTGAACGGTTTACAGGGTATATGTTAGTCCAGAAATTTGGAAACTCCTATAAAGGGTGGATGAGATCAAGTCTGGAGGAGCTTTGAGAAGAATGTTATCTGTGTAGCATCAGAGTTACTTCACTGAAAAAGCAGTTGCAGCCCTCTTTTTCTGTCCAAACAGCCTGCCTGGTAGATTGCCTTTGAAAATCTAATTGCTTCTGTAGAGTAAGAGTAAAAAGCAGCTCCTGTGGTACAAAAAGCATGAGCGTATTTCTAATGGCTCCCTCTCCTGATGTATCAGCGTTGTTCCCTTGAAAGGGAAGTGTTAGTCATACATGATTCATAGGATCTTGTTTTTGAGAGGAGAGCACCTGAGTCAAGTGTGTATTTACTTCCCAGTTAAAAGTGATTGACCAAGAGGAAAAATGCTTTTTCTGCACCAGGTGGTGAAAGCCACGGTGACCCTGCAGGATTAGCACATGCCTTCAGTGCTTTCTGTGCTCCTTGCTGAGACAGCAGCCGACACCATCTACCTGACCCCTGTTGTACCATTCAGTGGTACAGGGCTGGCACAGCCCTGACGCGATGGGAGATCACACGTGTGCAATATCTGTGTAACACGCCCTTCTTTTCCTGCACAGGATCACTGCCACTACCAGGGACATGTGGAGGGGACCCTGGACTCTGTGGTTGCTCTCAGCACTTGCTCGGGGCTCAGGTAGCACAGCTCCTCCTGTGTTTTCCCTCTGTCACCCCCATCTCAGGGCTCAACCTGACACAAGATCCTTGTCCTCCTTTAACCACTGCTCAGCCAGGCAGGAATTCACTGCCTGGGGCCCAGCTGCAGTAGTGTGGGCCTTTGTGCAGTCTTCCTGTGGTTAATAAATATTTGAAACACTGTTAAATAAGTTGCAATTTATTATCAGATTATAGTAAGTTGTTCTTTGATACAAATTTTGGTTTATTTTCTAATTTGGGTAGATGGTCACCGAAAAGCACGAAAAGTACCAAAAAAACATTGGCCCTAAAGCTTGGCACTTCAAATTTGATTGGAAATTTTTTGTGCTTTGGGCTGATTTCTGTATCTTTTGGGTCTTTGATTTTTTTCAGTGCCATGCCCAGCACCAGAGGGGCAATAGTAATTGAACTGAAGCCTTTCTGCATAAGGCCTGTGACAGAATTCCTTGGGCATTGCAGGCTCTCACCAAAGCATTTAATTTGCTGTATTTGTGAAGGCCCTGCCTGGGGAGAGGCTGCTTTCAGCCTTGAAATGAATCCCGCTGGTTTGCAGGGACAGGGAGATAGACATGCCTGTCGTTATCAAAGAATAATTGTTCCTTTGTTTTACTGTAAAAGTCTGTGTAACTCTCCTCTGGGCTTAATGCAAGAATTTCTCACACACTGCTGTGCTCTAGGGGTATGGTGACCATTGGGAACATCACGTATGGAATTGAGCCCATGGATCCTTCTTCTGGCTCTGAACACCTTTTATATCGCTTGGATAACGTGAAGAGGGAGCCCACAACGTGTGGGGTGACCACTGAGGACCATGATGGGGGACACACGGAAGGAGATCACCACCCCAGTATGACCCAGCTGCTGCGGGTAAGAGCTCTGCTGGTTCCTCCACAGGCCCCTGGGACGCGGTTGGCGAGTGCTCAGCTGAGGGCATGGAAGCAGCTTATCAGATTTCCTGGGGTTTAACACATACCTAAAGGCTTCTGATTCAGAGGGCTTTCTGCTCTGCGGAAAAACTCAGCTGCTCCAACAAAGCAGCTGGAATTTTCTGCTGCCTCCACACCCAGCAGTGAGCTGAGGGGGGCTGAGATTTTTCATGGCAGAGCTGGTTTGGGGATTTTAGGGGCAGGAGCACTGCCCTCCTTGGAGACACTCATTAACAAAGTATTGCATCAGCAGCCAGGAGTGGTGTTTATTCCATTCTCCCCACCATCAGAGCAGCAGTTTGGGGTGAAGGTCCCCGGTATTGTTTAAGGACTGGCTGTACAGGAACAAGATTGCAGTGAAAGCAGGAGAACGAACAACACCGAGTTTCGCTTCAAGGTTGTTGGTGTTTGCTCCTTAGGATCTTTCTGCTCCTTTGTAAAAGTGTGCACTGCCTTTGCAAAGAAAACCCTGTGAAAAGGTCCCTTGCTTTCGAAACACAGAAAATCTTACTTTAAATTTTAGTGTGAAACACTAACAGAGAAATTGTCATTTTTTTGGATCATACTCCTTGGGTTTGGCTGGTTTTCACCGCAGCACAGCGTGCCTTGGGTGTGTCTCAAACCACGAGTTGTATCAACTGAAATAGGACAATGTCAGGAGTTTTTTTTGTTTACACTTGAATTAATAAATTCAAAGTTGTCTAAAACTTTTTTTCCACAGAGAAAGAGAGCAGTCCTGCACCAAACGAGATACGTGGAGCTGTTCATAGTGGTGGATAAGGAGAAGGTAGGGGCTGTGCGTCGCTTTCCCCTCCTTCTCCCCGGGAGACGGCCTGGAAAGCCCTTAGTCTTGGTTACTCCCACAAGGATTGTTAAAGACACCGAGGCTGTAGCCAAGGCTACGCAAATATTCTAACCTAAAAGTGAATAAGCATGTTCTGTGCAGCACTCTCAGGAAAGGACTGAACTGTCAGACACTGGGGTTTCTGTCAGCGAGGGATCTAATAATGGAAGGAGAACACGTGGCACAAACTGCCTGTGCTGTTTGCTCTTGCATGTCGAGGGGCTGGGCAATAGCAAGGGAGATGCTGCTCTCTGCTTAACGCCTTCTTGTCAGCCAGGCAAAAATGTCTTAAAATGTTTTGCTCCTTTTTCTACCTCCTGTCTTTATCCCGTCTTGACGGAGTGTCTTTGTCTCACAGTTTGAGGATTTTGGGAAGAGCGAAACAGAAGTGAGAGAGCACATGGTGCAGTTGGCCAACGCCCTGGACAGCGTAAGTCCGAGCTGCCGGGGGGAACGGTGTGTGTGGAGCTTTGCCTCGGTTTTCTGGGGAGAACTTACACTTTGGAGTCTCTTCTCTTAACCCTCCGATGGGAATGAACTCGGGGTTTTTATCAGGGCAGGAACTAAACCTGTTCCCTCGGCCACCGTGCTGGTGACGCTGTGCTGAGGGAGTGCCTGAGGAGCTGCACCGGGATGGCCTTTGGTGAACACATCACCATGAAGGCTTTTCCACCTCTAATCTGCAGCCATCATACTTGAGAATTAATTTAGGGAACTCTTCCCACCCGCGTTACATCCAGTGAGTGACAGGACAGATTGTTGCAATTACTGTGATTCTTGTGTATGTGTAAAGGTGAGAGAAAAAGCACGTCTTTCAGCTTGACTGTTTCAGATGATGCTGTTTGTCAGGACTGAGACTCCTTTTTGTTTCCTTTTTGTTTCTTTTTTTGAATCCTCTTATAGTATGGCCAGTGCAGCAGTTAAGCATTGATCCTTTAGCTAATGAGAGTCTAAATCACAGGGAAAACGTATTCTGGTGATTGGAATTGTGTACTGACTTAAAAAAAGAACAAACGCAGGCAGAAAAAAGTAGATTCTTGCAATAGGATACGTAACACCAGACTGCTTGTTCTTATCTGAGCTTCTTCAGAAATATTTCTCCTTTTTTCTTTTTCCTTCCCCAGATGTACATCATGTTGAACATCCGCATTGTGCTGGTTGGTCTAGAGATCTGGAAGTACGAAAACATCATTAGCACAGACGGAGGGGCTGGTGATGTGCTGGCAAATTTTGTACAGTGGAGAGAGAAGAATCTTGTTCTGCGCCGGAGACACGACAGCGCCCAGCTCGTTCTGTGAGTTGCAGCTCCTTCCCTTTGACTCTTAAGAAGCTTTTCTATTCCTGGCTGTGCTGGGGGATCCAGAGCAGCCCCTGTGTTTCAGCAGAGAATGCCCTGCAGTTTGCTGTGGTTTAGGTGCTTGGGAAAACACACCAAGTCGACTTAAGCATTTTTAAGGTTTCTGTGGTGCTCGAATTCATTGTCCTCTCTGACAGCAGTATTGCTAAATAACAATTTTTTTCTTGTCCCACATATCCTGCAGTGTTATATGCTGTATTGTATAAAGCTTCCGTTCAGATAATCCTTGGCCAGGCTCTACACTGCTTAGACTTGTCATCTAGGGCTTTTTCTCCTTGAAAGTGAGCAGAAACCTGGTGCAGAGCGTTGCACTGTAACAGAGAAGTTCTTTCTGCAGTTGGTGTCCAGAAGCTGGCTCCCTGGTCTGAGCTGTGGCACGTGACATTAATCTCTCTTTCCCCACAGCCTTAAACCAGCGCTTCCTGCGCTGCTGTCCCGCTGCCAGGACGCCCGGCCCCGCTCCCTTCCTGCTCCGCAGATAGCGCAGACCCAGGGCACAGGAAGGGAAAGGGCAGAGGGAGAGCAGCACAGGGAGCTGTGGCACGTGACATTAATCTCTCTTTCCCCACAGCCTCAAACCAGTGCTTCCTGCGCTGCTGTCCCGCTGCCAGGACGCCCGGCCCCGCTCCCTTCCTGCTCCGCAGATAGCGCAGACCCAGGGATCGCTGCCCAGGGCACGGGAAGGGAAAGGGCAGAGGGAGAGCAACACAGGAGCCAGGAGCTCCTCATCATCCCTTTGGGTGATGAGGGTGAAATGGCTGAAAAAATACTCATTTTCACAATTCTTTTGTATGAAGTAAAATGTGGTGCCTTGTGCTGTTGCACTCCAGCTTTAAGAACTGTGTAGAAACACAATCAGTAATGAGAAGGAAATGGACAGGGAAAGAAAGGTAGGGAGTCTGGCAATAGGAGAAATGCAGGTAGTGGCCAATTAAAACAGTTTATTTTAAGGGTGGACCATTTAGCTTCTTATATTTAGAGGGAAGATGTGGAAGAGGCCGACTTTCTCTGCAAACACTTGTCTTTAAAAAAATGAAAGAACCATGAACAGAAAGATAAAGCTGAACTGGTCCATTCCTGCCCTCAGTGCTCCTTTGCCAGCATTGGAAAGCAGGAAAAGCGGTATTTTGTGCCCCCCAGGCAGAAGCAATGGAGGGGGCTATTGGCAATGGGTCTGTACGTCGGGGTGATCCCCTCTCCTTTCTCTCTTGCAATGGCAGGAAGAAGAGCTTTGGTGGCACAGCTGGAATGGCCTATGTTGGAACAGTGTGCTCCAAGAGCCACGCAGGAGGCATTAATGTGGTGAGACACCTTCAGTGACACCATGAACGGGATCAAGGGGGGAGTCCTGCACTCTAGGAGTCTCCCTGGAGGTGCACAGTCTTTAATACCAAGGCTGCAGTGGCTTACTGGGGGCTTTTATGTGGTCCCCAACCATTTCTGGCACTTCCATGATATCTTCCTGCAGACTTCCCTGCAGTCTCTCCTCCCTCTCCTCGACGTGCAGCACCATTGGCAAAGGGACGGGATTTCTCCGCTCATGTTTTAAGCACCCCCGGCCCTAGCAGTGTGTGGGGCTGTGGGTCTCCTCAGATCTCTCTCTAGTGTTTGCCCGACCCACAGCCGTGCCCTCCAGGAGCAGAGCCACTGACTGCCCTCTGAAATCACAGAGTGGTAACGATCTGGGAGAACTGGCAATCCCAGCACTGGTTTTCTGGGACTGGTGACAGAAGTGCTAGAATCAGAGTTTGCATATTCAAGGAGATTCGGGCTGGTGTGGAGAGCTCTGGTTTTTGTGTTGATGTTACAGCTGCACTGGGGAGCAGAGATTGGTGGGTCATGTCCCAAACATCTAAGGGCTCTTATCACCAAGCAAATGACATGCCCTTGGCTGGGAGACAGGCACAGCTGGTCTGAGAGTCCTGCTAATGTGGGGACAGAGCGACAGAAGTGTCTTTCTGGCAATAACTAAAGACCGACTTTCTCAATGTAAGCTGTCTGTTAATTTTCTTCTGTTTTGTTCTTGTGCAGTTTGGAAGAATCAGCATACAGATGTTTGCATCGATTATGGCTCATGAACTGGGACACAACCTGGGGATGAACCACGACGACGAGCGTGTCTGTCACTGTGGAGCCAGCAGCTGCATTATGAGCTCTGGAGCATCGTAAGTAGCGGAGAAAAGAGAGCATTTCCCAGGGTCAGACTCCCCACCAAGCACTTAGTTTTCACAGGTTGCTTTCTTCTTCAAAGTGCTCTTGCAAGGAGTTGTGTCACGCTTGCAGCTCGTGGGGAAAGCAAACGTTACCCTTGTTCTGCAAACAGAGGGGAAGTTTCTGGGTTGGCTCAGCGTAAAGATGCGCTTCTGTTCCCTATTGCAGGGGATCGAGGAACTTCAGCAGCTGCAGCGCAGAGGACTTTGAGAAGCTTACCCTTAACAAAGGTGGGAGCTGCCTGCTCAACGTTCCCAGGCCCGACGAGACCTACAGCGTCCCGTACTGTGGGAACAGGCTGGTGGATGCTGGGGAGGAGTGTGACTGTGGCTCACCAAAGGTCAGTGTGGCTTCCAGTACTGCCAGGGAGCCCTGCGTGCCCTCGCTGGGGAGGGCACCGTGTGTGGCAGAGGGTGGGATGGGGGTTTCTGGACATTCACAGCGTGTCTGTTTTCAGGAATGCGAGAGCGATCCCTGCTGCGAGCCGGGGACCTGCAGGCTCCGACCCGGCGCTGAGTGTGCTTATGGGGACTGCTGTAAGAACTGCCGGGTAAGAGACCTGTGACTTGGATGTGGCTGAGAAAAGGAGAGCGTTGGTGTAGCCAGTGCATCCGCGAGGGTGAATTGTCATGCAGGTGCACCCGGGCTTCAGATCAGCGCGCTTTTCTGTGTGGGTCGGGGCAGTGTTTGTCTCTGCTGTAAGGTCTCTATTTGCTGACGAGGTTTCCCCCTTCTCCCTGTCTCTCTTCAGCTCCTTCCTGGAGGAACGGAGTGTCGGGCCAGTAACAACGAGTGTGACCTCCCCGAGTACTGCAACGGCACCTCCCAGTTCTGCCAGCCCGACTTCACCGTCCAGAACGGCCACCCCTGCCACAAGGAGGAAGCCTATTGCTACAACGGCGTCTGCCAGTACTACGACGCGCAGTGTCAGGACATCTTTGGCTCGAGTAAGGAGGAGCACAGCACTGCCGTTTTTCTAAAAGACGTAGCTAAAAGAACATACTAACTGTATTTAAAATATATTTACTTGTTTTCCTGTAACAAAGACCAGCTGGCTTTGGCAAAGGATTTGAAACAGCAGTATTTATGGCTAAGCCTTCACACGTTTTCCTTTGTTACTACTACTGATTCAAGCAGTAATTTTCTTGCACTGATCATTCCTGCTATGGTGGGGCTTCTGGTGTATCGGGCTGTAAAGAAGCCATGAAGAAATATCTAATGGTGTAATTGACTCAATGTTAAGTGACTATTTTTCTCTCTTTTTAAACTTGGAATCTTGTAGTGCTGACATTTCCACTTCTTTATGGTCTTGATCTAGCTCTTAAGCTCCCTGTGCTGTGTGGAGAACCCCAGGTTTGCAGGATGACAGGGCTGGGTAAAGGAGATGTGATAATGTGAGATGTTTTTGGCCCTATTTAACGTGGTTCCTCTCTCTGGGGCTGGGCTGTTGTTTGCAGAGGCCAAAGCAGCGCCCAACATTTGTTTTAATGAAGTGAATTCCAAGGGTGACAGATTTGGCAACTGTGGTTTCCATGGCCATGACTACAAGAAATGTTCCAGCTGGTGAGTTGAGCCCTGTGCATCAAAAAGTTCCTAAATATGTCATTGAGAATCCTCGTTTGGGTGCTGTAATAACGTTTTGGGGTGTTTTAAGAAGTTGCATTGGGGAGAGCCAAGTTATCCCATAGTCTAATCTTATTGACATGGACAATAGTCTTTTTCTCAGAGTGAATTGAGGTGTCACTCCAGTATCCATATGTTGATGTTGCAGGAATGCCATGTGTGGGAAGCTGCAGTGTGAAAATGTGAAAGCGATGCCTGTGTTTGGAATTAAGCCCGCGATTATCCAGACTCCCATCAGAAACACCACGTGCTGGGGTGTGGATTTCCAGCTGGGCTCTGATGTCCCAGACCCAGGGATGGTGAATGAAGGCACCAAGTGTGGTAACGGAAAGGTAATTGGCAATTAAAAAGAGATTTCTTAAAGTAATAATTCGGGGGGGGTACATGCTGCGTTGTTTCATGAATTTTTGGTGCCTGTATTTAATGCAGACTGAGCCCCTTGGTTCCCCACACTCCATGTACTGCAGCGTGTGCAGGAAAGTGTAACGAGCCTTTCATTTATAGATGAAGCAAAAGCAATTAAGCCAGTCAGGAGCCAGAACCGTAGCAGGAAGAGCTCACACAAATGCCTTTAAGACAACTTTCAATTGAAATCCAACCCAACTAAAAAGCCTGGAAGCTCAGCCCCAGCAGAGGGAGGTGTGCTCCACGTACCCATGCTGTGCAGTCACTGCTGTTCCCTACATCCAGCCTCAGACAAAAGGCTTCCAGGGGTGGCTCGGGCCCCACACGGAGCCCCTCTGTAGCAGAGCGTGTTCCTCTCCAGCCGGGTTTGTCCCATCGGGGTTTGTGCTGGAGCCGAGAGGGGCTACAGAGCCCGGTGCTGTGGGGGGGGGACGAATGGGTGGGTGAGAGAAATTCTGTCCCTTTCCATTTGTCTGCATCTCTCCCTCTCTCCATCCCCAGATCTGCAGGCACTTCCAGTGTGTGAGTGCCTCCGTGCTCAACTACGACTGCGACGTGGAGCGGCAGTGCCACGGGCACGGGGTGAGCATGGCCACGGCCCCCACGGCGGTGCTGAGGCTGGGGGGGTTCAGCCCACAGACAGCATTTTACAGGGGTTCTGCTGCCATCTTCCTTACGGGAACAGGAGATTTTAAAAGCCAATAACTGCAAATATATGAGTGGATTTTTTTAATCAGAAGTCCCAGTTTGAGCCAGGCACACTGTAATTGTGCTTGATCAGCAGATTCTATGTACTAGTCTTCTGTGCACCTAGGAAATCTTTTGCCCTTCTCTGTCTAAGGCTGTAAATAATGTGGAATAACGCTAGATGCAGTGATTAAAAAAAAATTCTGTGGGGGTGTTGAGGATGGGTTTTGCTATAATAAGCTGCTTTTTGGTAGTGCTAATGAGAAAAGTGCCTTTAACAGTCAGCAAAAATTGGACAAAAGTTATCCAAGTTGAGAAAATTCTAAAATGGTGGATAGTAACTTAATTTTTCTGTTTTGTTTAACTGTAAAACTCTCTATAAAATGTCTCTGGGCAAGAGAGTCGATAACAGCATTGAAAAAGTCTTTGACAAAAGCTCATGAGATGATATTATTCGTCAGGCAAGAAGAATTCCCAATTCCAGAACTATTAATGTAATCTGAAACTGTATCTTCCCCAAAAAAAAGAAAAAAAAAAAAAGGCAAAAGCCCCGCTCTTTAGGCCGCTGGGATATGGAACAGTGAATGTTTGGAAGCTCATCCTGAGCCGTGCTGTGCTTCCAGTCACGGGAGATCTCTGGACGCCCGGCCAAGGGCTGTGCAGAACTGACATGGGAGTTACAGTTTGGGGGGCTGAGGGATGTGGGAGGGACAGGAGGAACAGTCACGGCTGTGCCTGCTGCTTTTAAATGTATGGAAATTTAATTTACTAAACAGACCTGTGTGTGCTGTTGGTTCCAGGTGTGCAATAACAACAAGAACTGTCACTGTGAAGCAGGCTGGGCCCCCCCTCACTGTGACACCAAGGGCTACGGAGGCAGCGTGGACAGTGGCCCCGCGTATAACGGCAAGTGGTTGGGGGGCTGCCCCGGGGGGTCTGAGCTCAGGGGGGGCTGGGCTGAGCCCCCACTTGCTCTGAAGAGGGTGACTGGTGGTGCTGGGGAGCTGGTGGCGGCTCGACACCGGGGAAGGCACTAGGTCAGTGTTTGGTGAGGTGAGGTACTGTGTGCTGGGCAAATACACAGGTCTGTGAATGTGAGGAGTGGAAATGGGAGCCTGGCACAGGGAGCACATCTGTGCACCTGAGACAGTGAGCTGGAAGGGGCTCTGCTCACCAACAGCGTGAAGGTGAAATAGGAAGCCACGTCCAAGCTACAATAGGAGAAAACCTGTGTAGTGCCTGTGTGGGGTATATAAAGATGGGATGTAGAACCCTCTGGGAGCTGCAGGAATGATCTGGAAGGTGGTTTTCCTTGCGATGAAGTGGGTTTGGGGGAGGCTGGGCACTCGGTTGGTGCAATAACAGCCTGGAGGGTCACAGCAGGGCACGGACAGAGGCCTCAAATCACCAGACAAAAGCAGGAAAGGCTTGTTCTGTACAGCCTGCAGTGGAGGAAAATGCTGCATGTACAAATACAGAGATTGTTAAGAACCTGAGTTCTTTGCCTACAGCAAACGGTGGTAGGAGAAGGGGAAGATTTAGACCAAAGGCAGAAGCTCTGTTTTCCTCTCTCTCAGTTGAGCTCACAAGATCTTCCCAGGAAATGTAGTGGAAGAAAAATTAGGTATTGATTTTAGTGCTGTTACAGCTCCGGGTGTCGTGGCACACACAGTTCTTTCATCTTTGACCAGACGATCCCTGTGAAAAGATAATCGGGAAATAATGTATTTGGGCGTGTATCTTGCAGTCTTACTGGATTCTTTAGTTTTTTCTTCTGTGAAAAACAGAAAATAGCTGTAGAACCAATCCTACCAAAGAGGCCCTGCTGGAGTGTGTCAGGTGGGGCTGAGCCCATCTAATGTTTCTTTCTTCTTCACTGTTTTGTCCCCATCAGACAAAGACACCTCGCTGAGAGATGGGCTGCTGGTGTTTTTTTTCCTGATCCTCCCACTCCTTGTAGCTGCTGCTCTGGCATTTGCAAGAAGAGAGCGGCTGAAGCGATGCTACCGACGGTGGATGTCCCGCTGCCATTCGTAAGTGTCTCCTTTTCACCTCCCCTCAGCCCTCTCAAAGAGGTCCCGAGAGGTTGGTTTGCAGGAGGCAGTGCCAAAGCGTGGGGGCTGGTCCAGTCCCAAACCACTCATTGCCCTGGGTAATGGCAGAAAAGGGAAATTCATCTTAAATTGAGGGAGCAGAGAACTTACTTTCTACCGTTATGTTTGTTGTCCTGCCTTGGTGATGGGTTTTTTATTTTTGGGTCCCATCTTTGATATGAAGTGGCCAAATGAAGCTGTCACAGTCCTGACCTTTCAGAAAGAGGGCTCTGTTGTTTATTAGCCAGGTGGTAAATGCTGTCCTCCTGACGTTTGATGTGTGCTACGGTGGTATGAATCCATCTGGGGGGTTTGAAGAGCTTGGGTTGGTGGCCTGGTGGTCGTTGTGTGAAGGGGATCTGCTCAGACAGCCCTTCCCAACTGTGTTTCAGGTCACCACCTCCTCGGACAGACGCCGAACCGAGGGCCTGCCCGCCCCGGGGCTTTGCGCACGGCGTGCCTTACGCTCCCAGGGGCCCTCCCATGGTAGGAACCACCTGCTTCTCACTGCTTTATTTGCTGTCTGATACTCTAAAGTTGTTGATGAAGGCAGTTTATATTATTTTGCCCTAATAAAAGCTTCAGAGTTACTTTGGGTTTTCTCTGTGCAAAGAGGCAGAGAGAAGAATTCTTTCCTACGGTGTGTGTTTTGGGAACTCCTCAGTTTCCCGTTGTTTCAGCGGTTTTACAGGCTGTGCTTGGCTCAGCGAGCAGTTTCCCTGCTTTGCTGCCCCTTCCCCTTATGCTGGACTCCCCGCCCCACACGAGGGGGGAGCCATCCTTACCAGCCCCCCAGCCCCACCAGTCACCTCTCTGAGTGCAGTAACTGCCCTTGCAGAGCAAATTGAATGCTTGCTGGGGTCAGCCTTTCTGGGTTTCCCAAAACATGGTACTTTTCTGTCTCCTGTTCTTCCTTTCTACTGAGTTTCTCAGCAGGAAAGAGCAGGAAAGTGGTTGGTTTGCAAGTAATCATAAATGGCACTTAACTAATGCAATAAATAGTTTGATTCCCGAAGTGTAAATTTGTGACCATTCTCATGATGGTTTTTTTGTAGGATATGGAGCAAAATGCTTATCCTGTTCCATCTTACCCCCTGAACCAGCACCCCCAGTACCACCACTCCTACTACCCGTCCCCCCAGTACCAGGCGCCGCAGAAGATGCCGACGAGGTTGGTTGAGTTATTGCAGATAATTCTTGGGCTGGTGTGTGTGGATTCTCCCCGGGAGGGTCAGGGTGTTCCAGCAGGGACTGTGCACACGTGGGTCTGGCCCCTTGACCAGAGCCCTTTCTCCTCCATCTCACGCCGTGGGCTGCAGTGCTGTTCCTCACAGCACTCGTTTACACGCTGTCGTGGCCACGTGTTGATTAACAGGTTTCAGAACACTTTCCCAGGGCTGGATTAGCCCTGTGAACAGGTGAATAAAATGCTGCCCAAAATAGGCAGTTTAAAAAGAAATTACTCAAAGCTCTGTCATTTCGCTGATTCGGGAAGGTTATTGCCAAGCGCAGGATCATTTCTCATTAACTTTGAACAGAAAGTTTTCCTTTATTTTTCATTTCACTTTTTAATTGTATTTCCAAGAGGTAGTGCCTGTGCTGTAATGTTTTTTTTTTTCTGGCGGATCCAGAAGGTGCAGGGGTCGAGAGGGAGCCCTTTGAAACAGCTTGTGTTGGTGGGAAGCCCGGGGGGGTCTTTGTGTTATTTTGGGGAGATGGTTTGCTACCAACCTGGGCTTTAGGGCGATGGAGAGCAGGGTCTGACCACGGTGTGTTCTGTGGGGGACAAGCAGTGGGGCTGGGGGGTCTCTGCAGGGGCTGTGGGGCCAGTGCCAGGTGAGAGGGACAGGGGCTGTGGTGTGGGTGTCCTCACCCGGGCTGACGGCAGCTTCTCTGTCCCCTGGCAGGCCGCCGCCTCCGCAGCAGAAGTGTGCACCTCAGGGACCTCCGTCACAGCAGAAATGTTTACTTCAGGGACAGTATTTCCCCTCCCGACCGGCACCTTTGCCCCCCAAATAGCGCCCGGCTGCTTCGGGGCCCTGACGTGAGCCGAGCTGTTCCCGGAGCCAGAGCCGAAATCCCAGTTTCCCTTCTCGCTCCGAGCGGCCCGTGGAGATCCCGGGGAGTCTTCCTCCTGCAGCACGGGGCAGGCAAACACAATAGTGAAACGAGGAATGTAAAACTTTAAACTAAATACCTCTACCAAAGCTACAGGACCTGAAACCATCCGACCCGCTCCGAGACCCGTCGGCAGTGGCTCTGACCCGCGGCCGGAGTAGTCCTTAGAGCTCAGCACTTGGGAGTTGCTTCTGGTTTCCCTGTCCTGCCATGAGCCCTAACAATGACATGGTCTGATTTGTTCTCGTCTTCCTAAACGTACAGTGAGGATTTGGAGTAACCCACGCCCTCTTCAAAACAAGGAAATCCGGCCAATTAATTTAAAATTATTTTGCATGGACTGGGAAATGTTTTCCATTTACACATTAATGGCACAAGCGAGGTGAGGTATCGGCGTACTTCTTCAGAGGAAGATAAATATATTGTAAACATGTTTATGCATGTGTATATGTCTATTGGTGTGTAATAATGCACTTAAATTCTTACTTCCATGCTGACTGACACTAAGCTGTGCTATATGGGCACTAAGTTTAATGGTTTTAAATTAGTAATTGTGAGTTGCTAAATGAGAGCGCTGTACTAACTTCCACTAATATCATCAACTGCAAGGCCAGGAAGTGCTGGGGAGAGCCCAGCGGAGGCTACGAGGATGATGAGGGACAGGACAAGGCGATCCCAGCGGGTCCCTTCCAGCCCCGGCCAGTCTGTGAGTCTGAATGGAGTGAAATAAAGGTACGAAAAGGCACGGCCATATCTTGGTTTAAAGTAATGGGGTGCTCTTAGGTTTAGGTGATTAACAGTCCCTGCAGAACACTAAGAAGCAAAAAAATGTGTCTCTGCCTGGACCATCTGGGCTCCTCTGAGCACTTTAAACAGGAACCTCTTGCCTAATGCAAACTTTTCCCCTAATCCTCAACTTTTCCGTGTCAGTCAGGATGCTCGTGGCTGCCTGGCGCTGGAGGGGACTCCCACCCCAGTCTGCCCCAGTGCTAAACTGGAGCTCAGACCCCTGAGCTGGCCGAGGGGACACCCGTTACCCGTGACACCGCTGTGCTGCGGGCACAGACAGAAGTCTGTTGCACAAACTTCCTAAAAGTGAAATAAGTGCTGAAAAGAGTGCTTGGCTTTTTCACTTTGTGCTCGCCGCCCAGTACAAACTCAAATCTGTAAAATTCCCCCTAATATTGCCAAAAAAAGTATCTTTTCCTCTGTATATACTTATATAAATATATATATATATAGTGTTTGCATTTGCAGTAATAAAATACTTGAACTCCTGTGGTTTCCCATAAACTTAGACTAAGATTTATAACACTATTAAAATATGTAAAGTGTCAGCTAGAATATCACCAGATGTGTTTATGGGGGTCTCCTCTTTGTTCCCAGATGTTCACTTCCTAATTTCTGTTGCATTCTGCTCCCTTCGGGCTGTCTGTCTGTCTGTCTGCAGCCCGGGCAGGTGGGAGGAGGGAATCCAGGGAATGAAGTCAGCGGGAGGGAGACGTCCTTCGTTGTATTTGAAGCTGTTTTGTGTGAACTAAAACTATGCTGAAAATGGTGCCTTTTAGTAGATAAGAGTTTTTCTATCCCAGCGTGGCCGTTAGCAGTGGTGCAGGGCAGCGAACACGCTGTTTTTAGAAGTGATCCTATGGAGAGGAAATAGCTCAAATTGTACACGTGTTGAATACGAAGATGACTACTGACTTTTCTTTTCTAAAGCGTACGCGTGTCCCTGTCCCCGGGGGGCTCCGCAGGGAGCGGAGGCCGTGTCCCCAGGAGCTCTGCCCCGCTCCCCGCCCCGCGGGGCCTGACCCAAAGGGCTGTTCCCGACCCTTTGTAAGAACCCAACGAGCAATAAAGATGCCGGTTTTGTACAAGGCGCTCCCTCTCTCTCTCTCTCTGTCTCTGCTGGGGCGGGGGGTGTGGCAGGGCTGGGGGGGCTGTTGGGGGCCGTTATGGCCGTTATGGGAGCAATGGGGCTGCACTGGGTGCTGATGCCGCTGCTGCTGCTGAGTGAGCCTGGGCCGGGTCTCCCTCATCCCACCAGTCCCCTCGGGGCTGCCCCACACCCCTGGGGCCGGGCTGGGCACCAGCCGGTGTCTCTCCCCTCAGGCTCGTCGGTGCTGGCCCAGGTCACCGTCCCGCTGCAGCTGCCCAAGAACGCCACCGGAGAGGGGGTACCTTGGCCAGGGGGTGGCAGGGGGTCTC